AATTCATTAATTGTCATCGGTAAAAATAATACGTAAATTTGTCAGTTTAAAAAAATCGTCGAAAAACATATGTATGTACAGTACATACACGTACCTATAGGGAATTGTATTTAAAATTTACTAAACCATTTAAAAACATAATGATACATTGTTTAATTCATAATTTAAAAAAAAAGCACCAAGTTAATTTTTAGTATATACTGCGCAATTGCAATACCCACATAATTTATTGACTAAACAGGATGAGGGGTATCTATCTCTTCACTTTTCTATGCACCGGTATGTTATTGTAAGAACTTTCGAAATATGCTATTACGATTATGATACTTACTACATATTTCACAAAGTTTATTTGCTTAATAAAACTCTAGCATATATCCAAGTAGAGATCCACGTAAGAAAGTGGCAAGTCGATAAGTTACTTTAAAGTAATATCCGACACTGTATACCTACATAACTGCAGTGTTAGACACTCAACCAGAGTGAATGCATGAATGTTACAGAATAAAACCAATATAAAATTATTGTTATAAAAAATGAATTTCAAAACATATAAGGTCAAATAAAGTCGTAAAAGGTATATCAAGCAGAAAACCAGTGGTAATATTCATCAAACTGAAAAAAAATCTCAAAAAATAATGTGGACATTTTAAAATATTTTTAAAACCTTTATATAAACTGCACGGTTAAGTGATCAATTTAGTATGAAAGGCTCGAAAATTCTGTTTTGTTTTTTTGTGAAAATAGATCAATTTCATGAACATTATATGGTTATTATAACATTAATATGGTTTATAAACTAAAACAGGTATCTGACCCATTAACATCAGTGATATTGATAAGTTACAAAACTTAAAACTAATCATATTTCATTGTGTTTTATATTACACAACAATATGCTATTCACACAATGATTACTACATACACTTTATATAATTAATATCTATACAAACTATATATTTATAGGTACCTTTTTTAGAACAAAAGATAATAACTTTATTAGGTGGGCCCGTCATTTTCACGTGCTAAAGCGGATTGTGCTATGTAGGATCATGTTTACGAGTTAATAATTTACTAACTTAAATAAACGCAACATTAATTTCACCATAGTAGACCGTATTTGGCACAAAAGATTAGTTACGAGTATTTTCTAAATAATGATTTCTATTTATATTGCTTTACGAGTATTGTTTTTTGTCAATGGCAACTTGTTTCGAGTATTTTAAGATGCAGTTCCCCGGAAATTCGTGCAGTTCGAAATTTAATTTTAGTAGTTCGCGCCAAATATCATGAATTAATTAATTATCTGTTCTGTGTATAAAACCATAGACAACATATTCATGCATAAAACTACTAGTCAGTTGCAAACATAGGTTCTCGCCCTACTAATTATCATTTTTATTTTATCATGATTTTTATTATATCAGAAGTGAAATAATAAAGTTATATATAGAAATATAGTCAGTCATGGACATGTAACCATAGCTTTATTTGATGACGGGAACCCTATGCAGGATTGTTGAGTTGCGGTTAAAGTCAAGCTGCAAGTCGTTCGAAATATGATTATATACCATCACAATCGAATTCAAAGCATGACGTGTCATTTTATTGTAGGAATGTATGCATAAACATTCATATCTTTATTTATTTATGTTCGAGTAACTAAATTCTTTTTAAATGGCGATGTTAACTTAAAAATAATGATAACGCCAGAAATATACTGGCATATGAGCAACGAAATATCTAATAAATAATGGTAGAGTCTATAGATGAAATTGAAAATTTACATACTTATTATAGTATAATGACTTAAGTACCTATCTAAGTTTTGTCTTGTACTGTTTTATTTTGTATCCGATATTGTATTATAAATATTCGGATCCCACATGGCTTCATAATATATACACGATAGCATAGTTCACCATGTTTTGGGTATTATAACAATCGTTTGTGTAAACAGATATATGTATATATATATATAAAGCTACCTAGGTATATCTTATTAATTCGTTACAAGAAGAAGATTATTCTTGTTTGAATACACTTATATAAAATGAACCATAGACACATACCTGACAATTAACTCGCACCTACTCATTATTTAACATCTGTAGCAATAATCCGCATTAGCACTGTGTATCGCTGATACAATACTGGGACTGTACAGTCAACTAAAATTATTATATGTAAAAACAAGCTTTTATACGTAGATTTTGTGGTGTACAAGTAACCATTGTTGACCAAATCCTTCACAAAGAGGTTTGTATTGTTCTATTTTAGAATTTGTATGGTAACCTACTAACTCTATTAGTAGACTAATTGATGCTGTAATATTATAATAAGCATAAGGCCTGTACCCTGATCGGATGGTAAACGTTTACTATAACCTTTGAATGCCTGAAATACAAGAGGTTTCACGTTTGTGTTGCCGATTCTTTAGAAACCTATACTTCTCGAAAACTACATGCCGTAGTCTCTAGTCTCAAATATTGTAATTAATAATGTAATATTAGAGTATCAATTATTCTTTAGTAAAATAACACGCGTAGGCATATTACCTCTGATACAAAATTTTAGCTGATTCAGATGCTAGCAAGCGCTTGTAAAAAAAGATTCGAAATTTCGAATCAAAAAGTCACCCACGTACGAAGCAAGTTAAATAAAAGCTTGTAAAATATGTATTTTACAGCCTTGTCACGGTTCACATGTCCTTTCATTTTAATTTTTTGTACATGCATATATAATGTGGCAAGGTTGTAAAATGTAAACATTTTCCATGTTATGAAGTTGACAACATGTCTAAACAAACGGGAAAAGACATACGAGTAGCATACGCCGATACTTAAGTACTGCACAAAATTAAAGTAATCACTTTAATCTCACTAGATGATTGTCTAAGGAAATTAAAACGAGAATACTGATTTTACCGTAAGTATTATAGGGTAATATTATATGAAAAAAAATGATGGCTACAAATTGTGATTGATGAAGGAAAAACAATTGCTAAATTGTCGACGTGTTTCTGTTAATAATGTACCATGTACTAACATAAACATGTCAAGTAGTAGAATGTAATAAATATGTAATTGGAAGGGTAGCAGTTAATCGACGCGCCGCCACTCTTTTCTCCGTTCTACTAAAGCCCAAAATATCCTATATGTTTTGTGCTTATAATAGATACAACATATTACACGTAAAATTAAGAAAATTACGGGATATTTCCATGTTATTATTATTAACGCTGCCGAAATATAGCGAACTCAATAAAACACGGTAAAATGCTCGTTATTTTCAAAATTTGTATATAATGTAGTATATAATGATCGCATCACATTTTAAAAGTATACACAAATAAATTTATCTAAATATCATAAGGCTAGTAATTGTAAAAAAGTTGTATTTAAAATGGTACCTAAGTTGCGAATATCAAATGCATATAAATAAATTTGAGTCAGTCAAAATGGCACTCAAGAATATAGAGATCTCAATAGCAATAGTTTGGTCGATTCTGAAATTATCATCGTTACATCAAATGAAGAGAGTTTACGAAACATGACATTTCAGAATCTCCCATTAACAATTTTAATAAATACCTATTAATTCATTATTTGAGTAAAAAAATTCAAGACGAAATAGACTTGCATAATTATGGATTGGCGATGGCAACTATTATAATTAGGTATATTTGAAAATATTTCTGTAATACATAGTTCTATTTAAAATCAGGAACCACTAATGAGATTTCAGTTTAATAATACTTATACACATCTATTTGGTGCACGGTTTACATATAGGATCATTATAATGAACGGGAATGAGTTCTGTCATTTGTTACAACACAATGTTCATTAAACCGGATCTTCAACGCCCCGATACCACACGGTATTGAGCTCAAAATAGGCATTTACTCATCGATTTCCCTGGATTATCAACGTGTTATAGATTTATTTTTTGTGTTCGAACATCGCACCACTGATTATTACATATACAGAGTGAAAGCATTATTGTGAGTGCGTGAGCACTGAAAGATTTCAGCAATTGTAAGCATTGTGTAGAAAAACAATTAGCTACTATACTAGCGATTACTGTACTAATCGTAGTGTAATAACATTCACGTTATAAGAGATTCAATACTTAACCATTTTATGTTATGTACAAAATATCAATATTTTTTTTAATGAAAATTATTATTTTTCATTGTGATGTGTAACGTCTTAGATAAGTAATTAATGTTAATAATTACAAATGCACGATTGCCATAAACTTCTATGTACTTTTAAATTTGAAAGAATAAAGTTGAAATTGCCTTATAAATTGACACCCACAAATTGATCCATTAATATCATTATTGATTTTTATGAAATTGAGATTCTTCTTATTTTCAAATGTCATGACGATGATTGTTGATTTGCCGATTATGAGAATTCACGAAATTGTAGTACGTAAGGCTTCCTATGTAATTATAATTAAGCCATTGCCATTAATAATATCAGAGTTGTGTGCTGGCATATGTCTGTAGGTAATCCTTTATCCTATAACACCTATAGGACACTATGGACTGGGTATCAAGTATTTGCTATGGTTGCCTCGCACTTGTATTTAAATTCTATGGAGATTCTAGAAAATACTATTCAAGGGACGGTAGTCCATTCAGTAATAGATCGAAATATTAATATAACGTTGTACATTAACCACATTGAATTAAACATACAACTTCTCATATAATTCTATAAGTAGGATTTTACTTGTACGAATATTAATGAAAAAAATGTCAGACCAAGTTCCAACTTAGGTGGCACTGAATTAATCGTCCCTAATTATTAAGATTCACCAGACTAGCCAATTCAATTCAAGACATAAACAATATTAACATCTAATTATTAACTAAACTTCACATTGAATAATTTTTATGAGCTATGTATAAAAAAATAGTAAAATGCAACTCTGAATTAAATTGAGAAATGACATCAGAAATCATAATTTTCCTCGAACAAAATTTTCATAGAAAAATAACAATATAATGAGTTTTTAGAAGCCGTAATAAGATGTGTCAGATTATTAAATTAGAACTAGGTACATAATAATACGAAGTATTATATACTTTGAAGGCAGTGTACACGTTATTACAGATTACTCTTTTTAAAGATCAAAGCTCTCACCGCACCGGCGGTAATAATATAAGTCTTACATTCTGCCCGTTTCCGTATTATAGAAACAAGCAAACTTATCTAAAATAATGTAATCTTAATCTATTACTAATCTATCTATTAATCTCCTAACAATAAAATGGCGCGTATGTGTAAACTATGTACATATATTTTACATTAATTACATTCTCCTATTCATAAGGGGTGAATAGATACAATAGAATTTGTCAATGATCAACCGATCAGTCAATGAATAGCACACATTTTCAATAGAATAACGACATCTGTATTGTATATTTCTAGTGATGTCTATAACATTATTGTGTACTATTCCTGTGAATCTTATAATAAAATATGGTGGTTGAATTCCTAGGTCCATCACTTAGACTCACTAACCTTGCACGCTCCTCTTCACATCGTGTGTCCAGCGACGGCTCCTACTATCACAATTGACATAATAATCACAATGTTTCGGGCAGTTTAACGCAATCACATTGTTAGTAACCCTCGCATATTTAAACGTCCATAATTTATTTTACATGCAATGATGCTTTAACACGTACAGGTACATTAAGTATTCTAATTAAAATTGATCCCATTTATTTGTTATTCTAAATTCTGAATGATACTTAGTTTTTATTCTATCATTAATTCAGATGATATAAAATTTAATAAAGAAAAATGTTAAGTAATCTTTGTGCTAAATTGGTTATGAAATATAAAGTTTATAAATTCTGGTATAATTCGACGAAACAGTTCGTATTGCACCAGATGAAAACAATTATAAATAGACACTTCAATAGTAAAAATAAGTATTAAAGCATCACTGGATGCAAAACAATTGATAATGAAAAAGCATGTAACACTGGTGACCTATATTTATCGATAGATTGCAATTAATTAATTGCGTACAATTTGTATACAAATATATATGTATTATACATGTATGTATATAAATCATATTCCATTAGCTATTGTGTATTTGATAAAGTCCACATAAACATTATTGAAATTGCTATTATATAATTTGTATAAAGTTCTGTTATAGTGTGCTGAAATGGAGGGTTAACAACGTAAATTGAAAATATTCATTCAAGTTCTCTTGGGTGGGAATGCCACGAAGGGCCTAATAGCACCTATCTTCTATATTCTTTCGCGATCCTCGTGCAATCAATAATGCAACTGACGTTGCAGTATTAGACCTATATTTAAAGATAGAAGACAAAACGACGTTTTACATTCACACGATGATTTCTCGTATGACGCGGCGAGAGCGCGAGTTAGGCGTGGAATAGCCGGACTCTAGTGAGTCGTCGTAACTGAGGGAGAGGTGAGGTGGCTTGTCCTCGGGGCCGGCGTCTTCTCCACCGCCGGGGCCGCCGCCGTAGCCCTCGGGGAGCCCGGTCACTTCGTGGTACGAGGGGTCTAGACAGAACGTAACAATATCTCAATATAAATAGTTAAATCAAATATATATGTGGTATGGAATGTTATCTCTTATACTATTTTAGGAATATAGCTATTTATATCTACAATAGAAGTACATAAATGTACAATAGTTATATATAGATTAAAATGATAAGCCATCAACTTATGATGCCGAAATCTTTGATGTGTATGAAATTTACACAATTTCATACACATCACATAATAATTACTCCTGACATTTTAAAATTAGGTACTGTTATAACTAAACTCTATTTGCTTTATAATATACAAATTTATATTCAAATAAATTTAATGTAAGTATTTATGAAAAGTCATATTTCTTTTATTCTACCTCTCAATTCGAAAAGTATAGTCTCTAGAAACTGGGGTGTTGCTCCTTTATGTTTTTATGCCTACTTGAAACTATTCCTAAACAATTAATTTCGAAATATGAAAACAAAGTCTATAGGTGTATATTTAATCATTTTAAAATCATACACTTACCAATGCATGGATCGACATCCATAAGTCTAATGCATGGATCCACGTCCATTCGTTTTTTGGGCTTGTGCACCGAGGCATACGGATCCGAGCAGAAGTCCTGGCGTGAGGGATTCTGACTACCTCGCATGTTGTAGTCAGGAGGAGCAGCCATCTGCCCACCGTGCGGCATAGGGGGGTACGCGGGGTAGTCATCAATAGTACCGTAAGCAGGCTGAGAGATTTGGTCGTAAGCGTAGTTGCTTTGTCTGTCAATAATTTGGTGGCCTGGCATGCCACCCGGATTGTTGGCCGCCAATTTCATTTGCCATAGAGAATCCTGAGAGTTGACACTCCCACCATTATTGCTGTTCGTGTAACTATTTTCCATATTGTACGCCATGTTTACCCCTAAAAATGATAAATGTTGTTAATTGATAGAATCTACTGTAATAACGTAGTAACACGCAATCATGCATGCGGTGACACACATTGTTATAGTCAATTTACCTTCTATGTCGATTCTGATTAGTCCTTCGTGATTTGCAACAGAGAAAATATTTATCATAAAACAATTCATATCGGTTTGTAAAAACATGTTACAATAATTAAATAGTACTTGTATAACGTAACTGCTATTGTCTTGATTCCATTTAAATGTATGAAAATAATATTGTAGGTATTTATAATAGTATATCTATCTATACACGCATGAGGCGAAATACGCGAACAATCCAAAGAAATGGAATATAAGTAAATGGGGACCTATATCAATGTCTTTAGATTACGAAATCTACCTAGATTTGATTTTATTAGTACATAACTTTAATGAATAAGAATGTTACAGAAACTTTTATTGAATAAATTCAATAAAATTAGTATGAATTATCCTTAAAGTAAACCCTTTCGTCATAAAAAAAGACATACGTATATATCCACATAATAACCGAGATGAATCGAGTACCGCTTTATTTCTGAAATTTATTAATATTAAACATAAAATTAAAGTAATACTTACAATCTGTATTTGGTATATTTTGGACAGGATGCCCTTGAACATGTGGAGGCATATGATAAGCATATCCAGAGCTGCCATATACATTCTTTGAATCGTCTATAGATGTGGCAAGATCCATAGAATGTTCTAGAGCTTTGTTCTCCATACCAGTGCTCTGGTAATATGGTGGGGGTGCCTGATTCTGCGGCGCTACCATCGGCGGTCTCATGGATTCCATCTCATAATCTTTGCTGGTTTCCTTTTTGTTTTTGTCATTTAATTTACAATGGCAGAATATGAATAGTAGCGCTAGGAATACGAGGAACACCAGACATGAGACTACGATTGCTATCATCGTGGCTGGTGTGAGAGCGGATGCTTCTTTAATATACGATGGACCAACTGAAAATAAATAAAGATGTTATCTAAATATTATTTTAATGTACACACGTCTAAACTAAATTGTAAAATTTGCTTAGCCATATCATCATTGGAATGAATTTAGTTATCAAAATTATAAATGGAATCCTACAATACCGAAACCAACATTTTTACATGACTGTTTACTCTAATAGATTACTAAGTTTAGGTTCTAAGACCACGACAATATATTGCGGCTAACCAGAGCATAATCCGATGATTCGATAATTAAATGATGGTCACTATTGATCACCAAGTAACCTACCCTGTCAAGTTGACCTCTACTCTAAGCAAGCAAGGTTTCCATATTGGTTAATTTCTACGATGAATAAACTGATTTCCTTCTTATTTTGTCGTCCATTTCAGGTACCTCGTTAAAGTACATAATGAAAGTGGGATGAAAGTATCATCGAGAAAGAAAAATATATTTAGTGATGATAAAGACTGAGGTTTAGAGAGAAATAGGTACTCATATTTCCGTTGAGCCTATTTAAGAAAGTTGAGGGGTAGCAACTAAAGCATTATTGTGTTAGTATGAAAAATAACAGTATTCCCTTTTACACTGAAATACAATTACAGCGACGAGTCATATTAGAACTATTACACTAGTAGAGCTCCATTATATACTCTACGAAAAAAGAAATACAGTATTAATTTGATTATCATTCTATATATCTACATATTTACATGAGAATATGGCCATATCATATTAATATAAATGCGAAGGCGTGTTTATATGTCACTTTATTATTAGGAATAAACGACTGAACGGATCTTAACGCAATTTGACGTGATGATAGATTACATCATGAGAATAAACAGAGTATCTGCTATATATAATAGAAAAATTAAAAAACATTATTTATATTATTAACCGGGTCTTAACACGAATAATTTTATGGCAAATAATATTTACCTCTCGATTTTTAGAATAGGTTGCACTAGGCGTAGAATAATATAAATAATTATATTAAAGACGAAAGTATATAAAAAAAAGTAAAAAGCAGTTATGTTGCGTATGTTTACTGTAATAAATTCTATTCTGTTGTATTCTATTGTAACTGGTGTTGGCAGAGGGTAGGCTAGTCCGGGACAATTCCGACATTATTATGCATGATGTCCTGGGTCCGGTAATTATATACCAAGTAGCCGCGGAATTTCGTTTCAACACCGGCCGTGTGCGCTTTATATTCATAAACCTGGAGGTAACGAGTTGTGTAGGTTAAATTATCTAGTTTCACCCTAACGATATTTTGCAGCTCAAACTATTGTATTCTCATAAGGGGGTATCCATAAATTACGTCAAACGTTAATGAGAGGAGGGAAGGGAGGGGGGGGGGGGCTGACAAACTGTGACATTGTTTTACAAAAGGTGGGATGAGGCACTAAATTTCCTGACGTCACATTTCCAATCTATTGACATAAAAAGTTTTTGAAGAATCTATAATATTTAATGAATTTCAAAATATGATATCACAATATTGTCATAAATATGACGAGAAGGACGGAGAGAAGGCTAAATATAGATTCGTGTGTCGAAATTGATTTGTGATTTGTGACTTATGGTTAATTGTGATATCACTAAAATGGTAACTTCTGTCGTTAACTAACTGATTTCTTTTGTTTATACTATACTTATACTTACAATAACAATACATGTGCTGTAAGTATTCTTATATCTTTAATATAATATGATATAAAGAAATCTGTTGTTCTGAAAGGTAAAGGATCGAATAGATGACGATGCATAAATGTTGCCTGTATTTGTTATAAGTTAATTAAAATTACAAAATAAAACATTGTAAAACTTAGTTAGAACTTACTGTCTGCTTCTGTGTACTCGCTGCAAACCTCTTGATTCACTTTAAGACAAAGCTTCAGCCTGATATGGGGATTCATATCATCCAACGACGGGTCACCAGTATGCCGTCCTGCCATAGTTCGGGCACTCTGTTTATTCGGAATCTCCAACGGCGCTTCCTGCACCATGGCTACCGCTCCCGATAGATGCAGAGGCACTGTGTCCACAACCTTACAACAAAGAACAATTAAATTTTATATTTAAACTTACTGTTGTGAAATTGACATTGCTGTCATGTGACGGTCAATTTGATCATAAGTGGTAACCGTCGCCTATATACATAAACAGGACCTAGGGATATCCGTGGTACATATACGTTGTTATTCTGAAGGACTTATATGTCACACCTCAGTATCCAGTAATACAATCGAAATACATATTATAAAGAAAGCTGATTAGTATCCAACATAAGTGATATAGGTGGACATACTCAACGACATTTATCTAGTAGAATTGGTGTTATGTGTATTAAACAAGTGATAAAAATCCTTACATAAATTCTTTTTGTAAATATATATATATATATACATAATATGCATAGAAAATACTCTGGTCAATATAAATACACTTATGAATACAAATGTTTGTAGCGTGCGAGGATTCGAACCCAAGACCAGTGATAGAGAGACAGTGTGCTAAAACGCTAGACTACAAATGAAAACCGAGGCCGAAATGTATCACTTAAACATGTAAACTCTCTAGCATATTATTGAATTTACAGAGGTAAGGTCACATGAGAAACGCAGAGTAAGGTCTTTAGAAATGACAAAGCATGAGTGTACCACCGCCATATCGTGGCAACTTGATGCACATAATACTATTGATGTATATAGATGATGTCACTTCACAATTTGATTCTTCAGTTCACTTATCATTTCAGTTCCGTAAAATATTATATATATATTTATTCAGTAGAAACACTAAAAAAAGCTTTTAAAGTAGATCAGGTACTTTCCTTTAACATCACAATGAACGCCCTATCGATTGAAGGCCTATATAAACAAGGCAAAGAAAGTGCAATAGGTTAAAAGTTTAATGTGTCTATTTGCACAGATTTATTCATTAAATTTATTCAGGGTATTTATAAGGTAATTTATAACATTGTACTTTTCAAATAAGACATACATATTATATTTAATAAAAATATTTATATTACATAGAACTAAAAATATGATTTCATAAAGAGCGATTTTTTATAATCTGATGTTGCCAAAATCTTTTATGGCCTGGGCAGTACATATACTCGTAAATAACACCGACCACACACGAAATATTGTTTGTCAAGAATTGAAATACATATCACACGGCTGTACAGAGGAATACCTATATCAATTTTAAATCAAATCCTTACAGGATATATTTATAATATATAACCGGATATTGCTTCTATTTATTTACTTGTGTCGCACCTAATTCACATAAGTACAACAGCACCCACAAAAAACGGGTCAGCGTGTTAAATGTAAGTACAGCGGTTCTAAGTTCCCATTATTCAACATCCGTTTTCGTGCTTCTAACAGTTTACATAAGTATTTTTACTTTAAGTAGAATAAATATTACGTGACTGTACCGGGCAGCAGTATTTATCCGCTATCCATCATACACTATGATATGCATTACATACATTACATTTGAATGTTACATTATAGTACGCTGCAAGTCTGTTACCTATTCTAGAGTAATGTGGAGACTTCAAAGAGATGGGATTGTTAGTATTGAGAACTATTACTCCATTGTTACCAATGTACTATAGGTTCGTTGTCACAACAATCCCTTGAAGTATGACCTATCTATATAGTAGGTTATTCTCCAAACGGTTTCCACAAGCTTGTTCTAATTGATTGAATATTAACGTAAACGTGTGGAGCTAGAAAGTTGTTATCTTATATTATATTAAGTTTATCAATTAAGAAAATAATGAATATAAGCAGGATTGCGCGGTAAAATATAGTAATGTATATGGTAAATCTAACCATGTTGAAAAAAAAACAAGAATACATCGTAAACATAAAGAACATGAGTGTACACGCATATTGTATGACAGGTTCATATAAGTGGATCGATTTAATAACTAATTACTAAGAATATTATGGAATGTAATTTTTTATTGTAATTTTGATAAAATCATATTTAAGGTGATTTTGAAAATATGATATTCTAATTGCATTTCCATTAATGCTCCCCAGTGTCCTATTACTGTCATATCTAAATCTGTGTATAATGTCACGGAAAAACGTTATTTGACAAAATATCAATATGAAAATAATTGTACCTATTTATTAAAATGTGTACGTATATATATTTGGATAATACGGAAGAGATAAATGAGCATGATAATGAAATAAATGAAAATATTGGATTCGTAGATTAATAACTTATTACTAATGCCGTTTTTCTATATCTGAACAGTTAGAATCGAATATCATTAATATTACCTGCCAACCGGCGGCGCCTCCGATTCCGTTGAGCCCTTCAGCCACCCCTATCAAGGCGAGGCAGGTGGGGCCCACGCTGAATGCTATTGTCCTAGTGCTAGGGTCGTAGGTCACTTGCTCTGGAGCGGCAATCTTGTCCACTTTCGTAGTCACCGTAATTTCGTTTGAATAATTACTCTGACCTTTCGTGTTAACTGCTTTCACCTGAAGTTTAAATATTCACTTAGACAAAATCCGCAGCATCTATCAATATTACGCCACAGTGCACAATAAAGCGTGCTCAAAGCCACAACAAACTGCACAAAAGAAAACAAGATATATTTCAAAGTAGCCCGGTTGATTTACCTTGAAAACAAATTTCAGTTGCTGTCGGTAGCAATAACAAATAGAAAATAAAAGTATGTTAATGAAGTGTTTAACACTATGTTAATCATAATGTATATATATAATGTTGTAGTATATTGGTAACTGTTTCTAAATAATACATGAATGAACTGGTAATTAAAAAAATTTAAACTTTTTCAACCACATAATCATAAAATTCTGCTGTAAGAGTTATTTTTACCTTGAAAGTAAAGGAATTGTGTTGTTCGAGCCGAGTGACGTTACAAGGATTGGAGCGACCACAATCATATTCCATCCAATCGTATTCTGTATGCTCAGTAGCGCAATGCTCGCCACCACCACCTGAGTTTATCCCCCTAACCATCACGCGACGGTATCTCACAAAGTATTTTGTACTCGACAAGCCACCATCAAATCCGGATTCCCACTTTAAAGTTACATATGATGGACCTATTTTTTCACTTCCTAGATCTCGAGGCGTTTCCGGAGCACCTTTCGGCTGCAACCGTGTCTGCGGTCGTATACTTCCAAGAGAATTTTTTACTTTGCAGTAATAATCGCCGAAGTCTTGAGGTTTCACACCTTTTATTTTCAAAATACTCAAATATGAATCATTGTTGTCAGTGGTCGTATTTATATCGTAGTGCCCATCGGAGGACATTTGCAATGGGGAGGTGTTTGATCCGTAGAACCATTGAAATTCTGGTTTCGGATACGCTTGCACTCTGCAGAATATTTCAGCCATTTCCGCTATGTCATATGCTACTTTTCTTTGCGGTCGGATCGCTATAGGTTCGTCTGCAAAGAAAAATAAAAGAGTTAAACAAGAAACAAAAGAAAATTTGTTAAATAAAATCTATGTGAAATAATGCTAATAAACTTACGTTCGATTCGAAGATGAACAGTAGATTCAACTTTCTTAACTTCATTCTCAAATGAGCATGTATATATTCCTCTGTCATCTGGCAGTAGGTCATTCGTATTAGGTCGTGTCTTGCCGTAAAATTTAAGCATACTCTGTACATTATATACTGAATTTCTGCCCTCAGTTATATCAGTCTTTATCTCGTATAAATCGGTATCAAGTTTAATTTCGTTATTATCTTTAAGCCATTTAACAATGGGACGTGGCTTACCAAGTGCACTACACGACACAGAAAAATCAGGCTCACCTGCCCGCTTAGTCATGTGAGGTTGAAGTTTCGATTGAAACCTTGGTGGTTGATGTACTTGGAGAGTAACAGAAGCCATTTCGCTATGTCCTAGTTCATTTGTGGCCTGACAACGATACACTCCTTCGCTGCCGAGGTGAGCACTGGGAATTGTGTACTTACTACCAGTTGCAAGCACATTTGGTTTCGAATCAACATTACCGACATCAAGAAACCAGCGATATTGAGGAGCTGGCCAACCTGGTGGTTTTGCGCTACATGTAAGCGTTACCCCAGATCCCTCTTGTGCCACAGGTCGGTCAGGGCTGATATGTGCGCGACCAGGTTTGTGTCGAACTAATACTGCAACAGAGGCACTACTGGCTCGTTCAACACGTTTACCTGTACTAGTAGATATATCATTCACTGCTTTGCAGATATAGGTGCCCGCCATATCTGCATTCACCCTAGTCAATAATAGAGTGTTACCATTTTGACGAAATTCTGGTTTTCCTTCCATAGTCCATTCAATAGAAGTAGGTTTTGGATTTGCAGATACATCGCATCTAATTTCGACAGTGCCATCTTCTTCAGCTTCATAAGTCTTAGATTCAACTGTAACGGTTGGGGGGAATAGTACATCTAAATATATATCTTTTTCACCCTGTGAACCTAATCCATTATCAGCGCTACATGTATATTTGCCAGCATCTTGAACAGTGACACCTTGGATCGCGTGAGTAAACGAATTCGAAATATATTTGCCGTTTCTCGTCCATCTTACAGTATTCACCTTAGGCTTTGCATCTACTTTGCATTCTAAAGTTGCAGTTCCATCGATTTCAACTCGTAATGGGTTTTCAGGGCCGACATCGACACGGGGAAAGTCTACAAAAAATAATAAATTATCAGTTAAAACATAAAATTATTAATTTTAACTTAGGTAAGAAGTTAAATACGATTTGTAGTACTTTAAGAATTTATAAACTTTTTTGGTTTCTTGTCTAGTGTAATATAACTGGAGGTACATTTTACCTGTACAATAATAATATACTGCACGTGCCTGTAAGGATAGATAAATGTTTGGATATTCTATTTTACATGGCAAGAATAAACCAACACTTTCTTCCTCGTTTGTTTATTTGGTGAGCGATGTACTGGTAGGAAACGGATATGTGCGTTCTACATACGACAGAAGGCATACCAATAATAATTTTGTTTACAGCATGTGTCAGAATAACAGCAACCAGTGTCCGTTCATGTTTCGTTTTACCAAATGGGGTCGAATGCTCAATTTTAAAATACTCTATGATTCAGTTACGTAATTCAAACAAATTGTAAATATATTTATGTTATTCATAATAGATATCTCTATATGTTGATAGTGCATACATACAAACTAATTATTAATTTAAATAATTACACCAAAATTAAAATTCCAACATAACGTACTGGCCTAGTTAGACTGTAATATTCTTATTTACCAATTAATCATCCAAATAGTACAACGACAGCGACACGACAATTTGTATCACAATTAATAAAAATTAAGAAATGACGGTAGTCATGACTATTATCACAGACGGGAAAGCAGTCATCTTCAAACCTCGACGTCATGAAGAACGCAATACATTACAATTAAGCTGTACCTACAATAAATATATTAAAATTTGTTCTTATTATAATTAAAATGTTTCTGGCCGGCATGTAAGACTGAATTGCCACTGTAATACATAATTCAGACGTAAAATGGATAGTAAAATTTTATGAGAAGAGCAACGTTATAAAAATTAATATATTTGTACGCTGGACACAACAGAATTATATGACATGAATTTGCTTATCGTGATCAGTGGTTAACAATTTATAAATGTTTTTACAAAATATTAATAAATATTGCATGGTTTTAGTAATAGACATAAAACACATTATGAGCATGACGCCGTAAAATTTTGGGAGTTTGAGTTTATACTCGGATATTGATCACAATTGTTCGATGGATTGTCGGATACTGTGCGTCATAACGGTCTACATCGACTTAGTAATACGGATGTTCGTCGAATGACGAGGGTTCAGATACAATAAAATTCTATTAATACAAAACCATATTGTGAGATTTTTCTACAAATAAAGCTATTTAAATAAACCTGCGTATTATTCTTTATTGTTACAACCTGTAACGGAAAGGGTAAAGTATCAAGCCATATGGAAATAAATTTGTATCTAATATACACGTGTGTTCTCCATTGACGACGATACCTACATATATTTCTAAATTAACTCACACTAAGAAATATACACTAAATGATTGATGAAATGTAAAAGAAACACAATATTTTCTATCACAATCTCATATAAGTATTTACTTACGATAAGGGATTGTCTGAATTTTCAAATAGGGAATGTGAAATGTTACTGATTTGACGTATGCAAGGTTTGCTTTAACATGTAATGTACCACCTAATAGTAACAACAAATTACGTTACTCTTGGTAGTTTATTTTTTACACTACTTTTAAACGCTCGTACATATTTGTTGCTTTTAGAGAATAATCAACAAAGTATAAAGAATGCAGGTGTGTTAAATTGGAAGTAAAGAGAGCTGAGAAACTGTTTTTAGTAAGAACTATGCTGCGGCGATGGAAATAGACGTTGAAAATGTCGAGATTATTTGCAAAGAGCTTTTACATTCCTTGATGGCCTCTGGCTTCGCTTAGGGATTCTGTATGCGAGGACGACATTTGCACATGAGGTGCACATACATCTCCTTTCATTAGATCTCTTTGAGAAATGACCATAGTCAACCGACTTCTAAAAGTAGTAAGTTCTCAACTTGAATATTTTTATGTGTTACCTCCTATAAGGTATTATTTTATCTAGGATTGTACTTTTATAGATTGAAAACAAATATATAATTCTATCAACTGTCAATGTCGTTATAAAAAAGTTTAAAATATGCAGAGCCGATATATTTTAGCAGCAGTTCATATTCCAGTCAGTCCACTAGCGAGCGCATCTGCGGCCAGAACCGGCTTTTACAATAGATACCTACTCGTATAATATGCACACGTCTGCACTTCATGGCCGTGCTATTTTAATCTTTTCGACGATATCTTTTATCTTTTTTTATTAATATTGTACAGCATCATAAGATCTGCAATTACAGTATAATAATACACATTTATACAAAGTAATAAAATGTAACTTTCTATTTATGTAATAAACTATGTAATTACTTTCTGTACATGGAAGACATATGAGAAAAACTATATTCTAAGGACTTCGGCTAACTGACATTTGGCTACTAACTGCATGTTCATCCTATCACCCTTCACTGGTTCCCCGCTAGCGTATACTATTAGCGCAGTCGGGTGCTCCAATCCACTATCACCCATGTAAAAAAAATACCATGACTCACGACCTCAGCTATAATACAGAATATACATATATACTGATCTATACTCAGTCTTGCCGTGACTGATTGACTCTATTAACACACTGCGTTAAATGAACTAATTGACGAGCTAGAAACTTGAAATGTTGATTACATTCCTTTTATGGCGTAGGCATTTAATAATAAAACATTTGGCGAAATTCCCACGGGAAACAGTGGTTACGACTTTTGCAAGGGATAAACAAATAGTATAGGTTACATAAAAGCAAAATATTTCATATTACTCGTAATTTGTGTAATGTGTAAAAATGTATAACAGAATTAACGCAATGCAATATTTATAAAGATATTGTATATTTGCGCCAAAAGTATGGCAAAATTATTGTATATTCTGTGTTATTATAGAAAAATAAAAAAAAAATACACGATAAGACCTATTTTTAAGCATCACTTATTTACAACATTTTTGTCACAGTGGTCATTATTAATAATAGTTGTAATTAGATTTTATTCAATAAAATCAAAATACATCATAAAAAGATTTAAATATCGATTTAGAAGCTTTTTCTGTGGAAACCATATACATATACGCCCAGTACAAAAGCGTTAATTATGTTACAGGTTCTATATGTAGCTTATTTTGCAAAAGCCTTGATATTAACGTTCATTTCCCAAGTTTGTTCTTTATTTTTTGTTTTTTATTTCACTTTCATAACAACGTACTCGTGTTACTTGAATAAAAAATTATGTTATCCCCATCCAGGTACAATTTACAAATGAGGAAAATATATTATTACGTCTTCTTGTCGGCAGCGTGGTCACTTGGTGAAAGTTGTATGAATAGCCTTTTTTGCAGTATTGCAACGTGACTGAAAATTGTTAAGAACTGCATATTTGTGACTCATATCATAGAAAACTTAGGTTGTCTGTCTATCTCAAGATGCGTGAAGTATAACGCCTATTAATTTTGTTGGTGGCAACATGCAAGTTATTAACTATATAGAGCTTCTTTTTTTTTTATGTTTTCAGCCAGTTGTAATTCCAATAATTGTAAATTATAAGAGGACGGAACTGGTACCCGAAATTCAGGTTACTACTTAGTTTAGATACCAGGGAACAATGTAAAATGTAAATATTGGATAAAATAAATTATTATTATTACATAGATACTACAGCTAATATATATTAATTACTGGATAAAACCACTAAAAACAGTATTATTTAATTTGGAGTACAAACTACTACTCGTAAATTAAACCTATAATATGTACATAATTTTAACAACGTATTTACGTAATACGTTATTTTAATTCAGTACGTTTTATTATCAAACTAAATTTAAAATATCCTGACAAAATTACTGCATGTTACAATTAACAATTCCAGTTTATAATATGAATTATAACAATGAGTGATATATAGCTAGAAATACTACCATAATTATTTACGTTATTATCTATTTTACAGTAACATATATATTTCTCTAAATGGATGCACCATTAGGTATGTCAACAGCAAGACTATTTTCCAAAATATTTAATTATTTATTTACATCATACTAAGCGAGCTTTACAGTTTCCGAATATGCTTACTTAGGAAGATAGTATTCACTAATTACAAGGAAAACAATCTTAACTTTACATAGTACATTAATAATCTACATGTTGTCTAATTCGTAACGTTATGTTCCATTAATATCTATATATACCAAAGTCTACTTATTTACTGTTCTTAAATAGAATAAGAGATCTAATATTTCTGTGTTGTGTAGGAAACAAGCAGTATCCGGGGCAGGCGGAAGTAGCGCCGCAACCGTACAGTTACTGGCACTCCGCCTAGATCGTTATTCCCAATGCCTATATTATGCAGCTGAATGTATTGAGACATAAATAAACGTGCTCTACGGCGATGTGTTTTAACTTTCGATTATTCCGTAGGTAGTTAAATAAATAATATATTAACATCTGGTTTCAAACTAGCCATACTAAACGTAGTGAACCGAAATTACCATCAATATGCTAAAGATTAAAAAATGCACCCCATATATTTGTTTCCGTAAACCGTTAGCGCAATCGCAATCCATAAGTAATCTTTGTTAGACTTATCTTTACATAGTACAAAACAAAGTCGCCGCCGCTGTCTGTTAGCTTATACCTTTTAAACTACGAAACTGATTTTAATACAGTTTTCAGCAATAGTTAGAGTGATTCAAGAGGAAGGTTTATATGTATGTTATAGTAAATAGCAAGTTCAGAAATTTAAAGATTTGTAATACATCCGTGCGATTAAAAAAAAACTGATGTATATATATTAAATTACTTTGTAAATTTGTTGTTACTACATAATATCTATAGAAAAATATCTGAGTATCTACTCAGATATACATAGTGGTTACATAAAAGGACGTTCAGAGTCGTCACATAAAAGCTAAATTAGCAGATGAGAGATGTAGACGAAGGTGCGCTACTTTCGTCTGCATCACAATTACTTGACCAATTTAAATAATAGGTTTTTAAATCATAACCTATGTGTTATTACATACTAATGCCGTATTAGCTACATTACTGTTACATTGTATTAAAATTCATTAGTTTTTGGGTGAAAGAGTAACTAACATCGATACTCACAAATTTTCGCATTTATAATATTAGTAGATGATGTAATAATAGAAAACTTACAATTAACGCTAAGATCCACAGAAGCGTCCAACTGCTGGCCTTCAGGCATGGCTCTGTTCCACACGACGCATCGGAAGGTAGCTCCGTCGTCTTCCCGTGTTGGGTTCAGTGTGATTGTTGAGATAGATGGCTCCGCCCTCGTTTTGGCATGAGTCAACTCTGCTTCTAAAGGATACAATGATCCTTCTCTGTACCATCTGCAAACAAACCAGGTCTTAGACAATCCATCAAGAGAAAATGGGATTTGTGGCCACCATTGCAAGCTCATAGGTCCATCTCCAGGTACCGTAATTAATTTATTGGTGAATTCGCCACTATGGGCTAGTTGACTTATGGGCTAGGTCTGACCATTGGGCCATTAGCGCAATAGAGAGCACCATTCGATATGAATTTGTGAAAAAAAGATGATGCATCTTGATTTCAATGGTATATATATGTATCTCCATACAGTTTTAATATATGATGTTATCAGAAGACGAGTGTTTGTTATATGTAATTCATTATTATAATTTTGCAAAGCTGCCGACCCAAACATTTAACAGTAACTAGGACCTTGATTTCGGATTCAGTTTAAAGAAACAAAAAATTACATGTATTTTTACTAGAATGAAGATCTTGAAAACAATGACAAAATATTTATTCTCTAATGTGAACCGTGAACTAAAATATTGGGCTTCAGTAAATTATTAATATTGAGAATTTCAAATCAATTAATAATATTATAACACATAAATATTCATAAATTCAGTTAACCTACATACGAACCCATAAGAGATTAATTGGATTTATTCCCTTATTTATTATATTAATATTGGGCAGTATTGTATAATCTAATATTGAATATTGGTATGGGGGGAGGGATTGTAAGTAATATGGACTGATGATGTTATCGCTAGCAATGTACCATGTTAGGTTGCCCTCCATGCTGTTCCCCCTGGAAACCATCGTGATTAATTTATAGTGATAAACGAGAGGAGTGGCATGTATTCTTATTTCTTAGCCTCTCTAGCCCAACGGTTTAGTACAACGGTAGATTCCTCGCACAGTACAAACATTTATATTCATGAGTATGATTGTTTATATCGGTTCTATGTCTATTATGTATTTAAAAGACAAATGTATGTATGTATTTATATTAATTTTCTAGTACCAGTAACACAAGCTCTACTACTAGATGGCGCTGTGTAAATTGTCCTGATATATTAATATTTTTTTGTCACTGCACGGTTATAATGTATTTGATGTATATTTTATTTTTCAATATCAAATTTAAATGTATAGACATGCAAAAAAAAATATCTGATGGCCGACTGTAGGTAAAACATGAAAAGAGCTATTATTGGGAGACTTTATTAATTTAATAGACCTAAAATTAAAGAATTTGTCTGCTTGTTTGTGCGCGTTAATTGTATCCAAACAAAGATCTGTAATTAACTACAGCTCGATGTTTTTGTAACATTAACTCCAATGACAAAAGGCAAGAACCTAGATAGGTATTATTGCAAAGATGTTGCAGTACTCCACAATTCAGTGTTAATCCTTATTAGATAATATAAAACAAAGTCGCTGTTGCTGTCTGTCCGTCCTTGTGTTTGCTTAAATCTTTAAAATAACGCACCGGATTTTGAAGCGGTTTTTTTCTAATAGTTAAAGTGTTTCAAGAGGGAGGTTTATATATATAATAATACATGTACGCCCGTGCGAAGCTGGAGCGAGTAACCAATATTGTAATAAAATGCTTAATTAATAATACATAATATGTCATTACAAATTGCTCTACAAATTACAACGGAACATATAGAGTGGAGAGTAGTTGTCACTGGGCGTGAAAAAAGATTAAAAAATGTCCAACAACTATAGCGTCTATCCGTAGTTTAATTAGCAAAATGCACTCAGTATGGATATGGCTCCGAGCAATACGAGTTGATATTCTATCGAAAAAAAAAAGAACTTCGTGTTCAATATGCAATATAAGTACCTCTACAATATAATACCTTTTCCTATATGTCTTCAATTTCATTAATTATATTTTTTATTCTTTAACAGATTTCTATATCATAGTTTGTGCGTTAGCTTATGTCACATTCGGTTACGAAGTCATGATCGCACTTCGGCCATTATTCGTCGGAGATATATCGTGATGTTACTTACTGGTCATATCATTTCATTGAGCGATATCCCCGCAATTCCACCCAATCCCGAGTCTAATTGAATCCAACTCGCTGCCTACATGAAATTTATCGCCGCATTTATCTATTTTTTTCATCTCCAACTCCACCTACGCTGTACTTAATGCGTAAAAACGGGCATTATTATCTATCAATACGTTAGTAATTGAAATTCTTATTAGTTTCTATTACCATAGTTTCAATATTAAATATTGTTATATCCAATACATTATTGCCCTTTTTTTTAATATCCGTTTAAACCAAAATAGTGTTAACAGAATTAGGTGTGTAAGTGTTAACACAATATAATATTGGTATAATAAACCGAATGTTTGTCATAACAACAATTATGAAAAAAAATTGAAGTAAAAATCAATATAATATATTATATCATTATTAATTTTTTTTATTTATTCTTATTTTATTAATTTATTGATTAATTAATTACAAAAATAATGTAGTTGTATTCTATTTATTATAATAAATTACTTTTTATTTGTTTCCTACAACTTATAATGATGGTTAGATAATATAATCATGTATACATATATGCACAAGTATGTTCCGATATTAGATACAGTAAAATATATCGTATATCGTCTTTCCATTACTATATTTATCAGCCCAATGTATACAAATACAGTACTTCGCTCACAATGACTAAAATTTATTTTACTAATTCACCAAAAAGGAAATTACTACTTATTTATTGAAAATAATAAAACAAAATATAAGAATACACATAATATCGATTACAGTTGTGAGTATTCGTGATAGTATGGGCGTCGGATAGAATTATCTGTGTGACTAGTTAATTACGTTGTCAAGCAACGTCTAAGCTTGGATTACTTTGCTTACAAAGACGGGATTTGCTATTAAGAAAACGCAAATAGTTATTTTCGGAGGAAATTCGTGAAATTCCATCTATTTTTTACCGTATATACAGATTTATTGTAAAGAACACAACACCATTAGTAAATAACATTTTATATAAGTTACTTACTAATCTGATACCCAGATACAACAGGTTATCTGTTATTACCACGACGACCTCGGTGGTTTAGCGGTGTAGCACACCGCTTTACGACCGATGGTCGCGGGTTCGATCCCTCGCACGGCACAAACATTTATATTCATGAGTATGATTGTTTGTATCGGTCTGGGTGTTTTCTATATATAATATGTATGTAGTTACAAAAAAAATATCTATGTATTTGTATCAGTTATCTAGTACCCATAACACAAGCTTTAGCCAGCTTAACTTGGGTCTAGATGACGCTGTGTGAATTCTCCTGAGATTGTTGTTATTATTATTATCCGTTTTGAACGTTTAATACTGACTATATATTTACGTCTAAATATCTATTTATGAAAACGAAATCTTAATTAGAAAATTGATATAATGGAGTATAATAGCATTTATGTAATTGGTTTCAAGTAGTTTAATGCAATTTTATATAGCACCGTTGTTTTTGTAGGTTAAACTTAACGCAGTTTCTTTCGTTTTGTGTAAAAACATCGTTGCGATACGAAGAGGGATGCAGTTAAAAAGAGTAGAATGATTTTAATGAAGACAGCGTTGCTTGTTCTGTGCAAGAATTGTAAGAAAAATGGCAGCGACGTATATTATTGCTATATACATGATCATTTACACAGTAAACTTCAATTGATGTTTAGTAACAATACTTGTATTTACCTAATATGTAATCTGACTTTCAAACAGTAAGTTTTGGAGTTCATTATGGTAGGTATTTGTGTCATTTATATCTATTAATGTCTATAGTAATAATTATAACCCTGGACAATTCACAGACCGCCATCTAGTCTTAACTGATAGAAATACTTCAATACTGTTTGTTTGTGTGTAAACAAAACACCCAGAGCAATAGATACAATAATTGAATCGTTCGAAACGAATTCGAGAAACAAACTAAGGTTGCCTGCTAAAGCACCGAAGTAGTTTGCTAGTAATATATTTTTTTTTAATTTACATATTTAATAAATAGTCGGTCCCTAGAGGGAAGCTTTAAATATTCCATACTTACTTGATCGATGGTTCCGGTGAACCGCCAGAACTGGAGCAAGCGAGTTTAAGTTCTCGATTCTCCTGTGCCTGGGCGTGTGGTCCCGGAGTGAGGAGCGGGGCGCGCGGGTGTGTCAGCACTGTCAAGGCATGCCCCTGGGAGTGTAAAGTTCGCCCGGATCCACCTGCCTTCACTCGACACTCGAATCTTCCATTGTCCCGCTCGTAGGATACGTTAGCTACCATCAAGTCATATCGACCCTCAGTAGGCGCGAACGATATTCTAAAGAAAACAAATTTAAAGTTATCTGAATTAAAATCACTCGACCTAAAAGTTTAATGTTCCAAACAAAAAGAAAACAAATTGTAATAATACTAGTATATTTTTTATACAAAAAAAAGAAGTATTTTTTTAGGAAAAACGTCGAAGTTTATTTTATTGATTAAAAATAATCGTCAATACCCCATTCATGAAATATCTTATAACATTAATAGTAAAATAGTATCAAATTGAGTACTTTCACTTTTTTAACTTAGATGCAAATTGCACGCTCTCTCGCATGAAATAATAAAACTAGTTTCGTATACTGAAACGAGTTTCATGAAACCGTAGAATATTGACACAGAGAGATGTAAAACTGATGCTTTAATTTAATTTTTACGGGAAACAGTTGATGCGATTGATGCCCTGAAACTAGTTGGAAGTAATTTCGTAACGTTAGGTTTTTTTTTAACTAGTATGTATATATTGTACTTTTATATATTTTGATAATTTGAACGGAAAAAAATGACACTATACAATCGATTTGTGTTATAACAGTTTATAATGGTATCTTTGGACAAAGACACTTTTTAGTATTCATAATTAGCTATTTATGAATAAATTGCATCCTAATACTGCAATTAAATAACATGGATATAGTATATGTAAAATATATCGGTTATAGTATAGTATGGTTCAATAATGTGGCGATCTCCGTGTAAATATATAAATTAAGTGACATAGAGGGGAGCGTCGTAGTATTTCCTTATATTTGTTATTTATATATCTACTACCTACTTATTTATATAAATTTATATACCTACAAATATTAAAATATATTTTTAGCATTAGCATTTTATTATGTGAAGACGTCATGGAAATTTGAGAAAGATATTTCCGAATCACGCATTGATAATTCTGAGCTTAATGGACAAATGTTGCTAAAAAGGATGATTTCCCTATTGTTACGAAATGATACGGAAGACGGAAGGAATTGTTTTCACATTTGCATTGATTACACAAGAAATTACAATAATATTCATCTTGAGCCTACATTGGCAAACCCATCAAGTCGTTAGCAATTCTTTACTGAATTATGCAAGACTTATATCTCGATAAATAAACACGACGTTTGATGTAATATAGTTCAGCCACATCATATTATAAGCCCGTTCATCCTGTTTGTTATTAGTAAATAAATCCGGAACTATGATGGGGTAGATAAGCTGTTTATCACATATGTTATACTTATTCAGGGCCGTCCAATGCAAACTTTTCAAGGACTCCGAATATTATTATAATATGTTAGTTTAATATGCAAGGAATTTTAACTTTATAGTGTGTTATATAATATTATTAATGTATTATATATTGTGTTATGAATATTAGTAATAATTATTAGACTGATATAACAGCAATTAAATTTCTTGATAAATAATGCTTGCTTAACGATGACAGTTGGTTAAGGGGGTAGAAGGATCCCAGATAAAAGGTTTCTGAAATTTTTCAATTATTTGCATATACTAATTAAAAAAATATTCATATTGTAACAAACATACGGACTCACAATGTTTACATATTGCTCCGTAATATTGTTACATACTTTGTTTTCTTTACATTGGGGCAATTTTGCCGAAGTGAAAACGTGTCTCGTACGTGGCGCCTTTACTTGTCGGAATACTCCGAACTATAAAAACATGGAGGATATATTTATACACCGCAGATGTCAGATAAGACTTAAGCTAGTCTATGCATGCCTACGCTTTACTTAACCCATCGGAAGTGGTTTACTCATTGCGATTTTTGACGTAACTTTTTTAATACAATCTTTTACATTTATTTTTATCATTTGGTGATTCTATTTGTAATCAAAAAATTTAATCTTCTGTTCGGTGCATACAATTCATTGAAGTATTTTTTTTTAGAACAGAATATTACTAAGATTATAAACTCTGAACTTTGTGACTATGGGGATGTTTGTTTCAGGTAAAAACAATAATGCATTCGAATGAAATTTGGCACACAAATAAAGCATTATATAGATTTACAGATTTGACACGGGTTTCCCGGGACAATATATCGGAATTCAAACTATGCAAACTGCTTCGTTAGGTATACATCAAATAAACGAACAGGATTTGATATTTATAAATATCAAGAACATTGGCAACGCTCTCTTAAAATTTACTACACCAAATTTGATATTAAAAATTTAGAATTTTTATTTCTTTTTAATGGCTTAATTAATTTTTAAATTTATTTCACTGATACGTAGAAATTTTACAATTATTAGCGAGTAACGTGAGCTGTGTATCATCGCAATCAGGGCTACGTCACACAGCTAGTATGGCTATAAAGTGAAATTATCTGATTAAAACATATTTACCTACCACATATTCCCAAATTTGTACTTAAACATTAATCTGTATTATTGTAAACATGTACAAGTTTATTTGAAAAGAATAGTATCTGAGTATCTTAACAGTTCTTCTCAGCTCGAAAGCACTCCGAACTGACGGTAGATTCGACATATCATAAGAGTCTGTAATAGACCTACACGAATAAAGATATTTTTATTTATCGATTGATACATACTGATAGTTGGTCTCCAAGGGTATGTCCCCAATGGCCACATTGTCGTGTCCGCTCGCCGTGTTCCGGACCCAGTAGTACGTGAGTGACTCGAACGGTTCCAGTGAAAACCGGCACTGCATTGTGACATCATCGCCTTCCCGCGCGTCATGCTGCTCATCTTCTGCTCGGACTGTCCATCCTGGTAAAAAACAAGATAACCAGTTTAAAAAATATATCAGTTGCTTAATTACGTTTTAACGACTTGTAACATTTTAATGTTTTTTATTTATTATTTCATATGTGACACATATGAAATAATAAATGTGATCTATGTATACTAGTTATGTATAAAATATATATAAGATAGATTTATGAAAGATATCGTTTATTTCTAGTAAAATAGTAATAGTAATTATAGACCTGAGACAAAGTAGAGCATTGATCATTACACGCAATAACACAGCTATGGTAATGCCATTTAGCGTTACAATACATAACAAGTAATACTATGATTCGTTCACTTTCATCAAATAGTTTGCGGTAAATATTAGATGCTGATGATAATGACACAACACAATCTCATTGTAACATTACATTTGGCGGCCTCGGTGGTCTAGCGGTTTAGAACCGCACCGCTTTACTTCCGATGGTTGCGGGTTGGACTCCATGGTACAAACATTTGTATTCGTAAGTATGATTATTTGTATCGGTCTGAGTGTTTTCAATGTATTTATAAAAAATATATATAAGTATTTATATCAAATTGTCTAGTACTCATAAGACAAGCTCTGCTTACCATGGGACTGAATGGATCTGTGTTACTTGTCCAGAATTATTTATATAGTTGCATAATAAAAAGATAAAAGTTTTAGAACAACAAAACCACAAGAAAAACAAAAAGCCACTTCAATAACAATTACGTACACATATTAGTATGTATAAAAGTTATGACGACATATCATTATTGTTTCATAAAGAAAAAACAACCCACAAGCATTTTTACGATGGTTTCTCAAGTTATGATGTTTTCGCCAACCTACCAGCTATCTCATGTCAACTTATTACTACAACTCGAAAGTCATTGTAACACAATCGAATAAAACAGCGTTTAACTTATAGTTTACAGTTTTCTTGAATTAGTCTTCTTTTTATGCTTTTCATACACTTGCATAAACAACGACACTTGAATGACCAACTTGCAAAAGAATCCCTTGCGAACCATAATACTGTTTACATTTAAAGGAAAATTTATATTTACAGCAATCTCGAGGTATCTGTTTTAAATACTCGTGTTGCAATAAGTATATATAAATATATTATATAGTATATTTGTAGTACATCAGTCACCCTGCCTTTCTTTATATGGTCGCGGGTTTGATTCCTGGCATAATGTAAACAATAGTATTCATGAGTATGATTGTTAGTATTGGTTCACAATGTATATTTATTAATATATAAAAATATATTTCCGTACATCTATCAGTTGACTAGTACTCGTACCCCAAAAGTTCTGCTTAGCTTGGGACAAGATGGCGCTGTGCGAATTGTCTGGGTTTATTATAATTATTATATAGGTATGTACTAGTTACTTATTATATAGTGCAAGACGTTTTTTTTTTAATTCTGCTCGCTGATAACAGCAGAACGTCTACTGTTATCAGCGTGCAAAATTTAAAGAACGGATGGCAATTCTAAAATACTTAGGTACGTATGAGATTAAGAAAGAAATAATTATATATAGTTAATTCTACCTAAGTATATCTATTAATTATAACTAGTAGTTAGTAGTTTGCCTATGCTATTGATACAGCATTAGGAATGGTCAAATATAAAATGTTAAAAATAAATAGGTATGTAAGATTAAATAAACATTATGTCAACAATATGTTCATGACTAGAATAGAATTGGTTGATATCAATAATATGGATTCAATCAAAGTTGATAACCTCTTTTCATAACATTTTCAATATATATCTTGGACATACATTTTCGAAGTAATTGATAATTTTTTTAGTAGTTTATAAAATCGTTTTAATATGTATCTTTGCTGATAAGAAAATGTTATTACCCACTTTGCAACCTACTATATTTAGGACATTATTGTGTAGACTGACTTACCTCTCACATTTTGATCGCAGTTGCCTCGGAGCAAGTATTATTTTCATATTATTTGTTTTCAAAATGTTTACTACATTACGTTAGGAGCCTAAGGGGCTTAAGGGGTACTAAATTTCGCCACAAACATCTCCTCCCCAGACTAACGTTTGCGTGAAGTATATTCCACGAACATCAAGTAGGAACGCATGCTACAAATTGCTTGCAACACACTTATCCAACATACAAGAGTGTGCCCAATATAAACACTACTATGTATGGACTACGACTGCAAACTATCACAACATTACCAGGATAACAAAATACGTACCTATCATTAATTGGTACGATACATTAATTAATTATAATGTTTTATTTCTTACATCCAAATGAACTTATCTCTGCTTGTTTAGAACGGAATTTTAGGTGAAAATAAGTTAATGGATACTTACCTTAATACCTTAAGCAATAATTTGTTAAAAAGTTAAAAAAATCAAATCGAAAATAGTAGTGTATGGTATGATCTTGACGATTTAATTTCAATGTGTTTGTAAATTAATATAGGAACCTAAATGATCCTTAGATAATGCTATAAAAGAGCAAATACTATCCAATAGATGTCATCTATTCGATGTGATTTAGATTTAATTCTAATTCGATTGCGTGAAACTCGAATAAACTTCACTATGAGAAACCAAACGAAACCACTAGGAGCGCAAGCCAAAATACTTAAAGCTGAATTAATTCAGAAACGTTCAATTCCTATAATGGTCCGACCGAGGATCTGACCCAGATGCTTATTTATGCTACCAACTTGCTTAATTATAGCGCTACAACGTTTTATTGCACATTGAAATATTACAAATTAATAAAATTAAAAGCACAGTACATCTAATTATAAAATACAGCGAAATTGTTCAGGAAAGCAATCTCTACAGTTAATTATGAACAATGTTTTATGACCACATACGAAACCTTAGAAATAATACGTAATGTAGTACATTAAACAACATTACAAACCATCTTCGTATCTTTTCGACGCTCTCTATTATTTCACTGTATGCAGGATGATAAGGATGAAATATTATATGATTCATATATTACTTCACATTCTAGATTTTCATTTACAACTTATATTTGCATTGCTATGTATCTATTATATTATTTGAAGATACACTCAAATAAAATTTGTAACTTCTAAGCGAATAGTTTGGATATTTAGCCAGTACATTCCTTGCTAATAATATCATGCACCAGTCAGTCCATTTATCTGTCTGTCTATTTTCAGACATATTCTGTTGCTATAGTCTGAAAAACAAATAGGCAGATTCGTTATTTAGATTTAAATAGAATATGTGTCTGTAACAAAATTGTTTGGTATTTACCAAAGAATTTCAACTGACAAACAAGGGTTTTAATGTGTTTTAAGGATATACTAATGCAAGATTCTGAATTGCTGCAAACGAACCCACGAGAATCGAAGCGGAACGAAGAACCAAAGTTTACTTAATTTACTTTAATCAAGTCTTATTTTTATAAAGGTAAAAAGTCAGATTTTATAAATGTGTGAAAGACAAAGTTTTTGTAGTGGAAATAACATAAACTAGACAAGACTACGTTTAATCAACTTCGGTTATTATTACGGTTATGTGGTTGGTCACTAGTACGAGTATATTATAATCTATTTGTTTATTTTTTACCGATTTTTTTAAAACACACCGCAGGTTTAATTCTGCTTCTCTATCAGTACAATCTATTACTACTACTAATATTCCAATCTACTTTTAAAGATACAAATAATATACTCGTAATGCAAATTTTGCTGGGATGGAGTGATTTTGTCCACAGTAATCAACGTAGTGAACGTAATACTAGTACATGGTTAGATTGTCCACCAACTTTCGCAGAGATGAAATTCAATGTGGCAGGAAGCGAGTTTACACATTCCATTATTTCTAAACTAATTTTAACCAAGCATTGGTACAAAACGTTACAAAGTATCTTCATTTGATATTGCAGGAGCTAGGAAAGGAATAACAGATTTAAAAAAATTAATATTTTCAAGTAATAATGTAAATGTTAAAAAAGCGTAGAGTTTTCGGGATATTAGAAAATGCCTACATCAAATTCAGTCTGCCAATATATTTACACCTGTCATTGTTTGTTTTTGTCCTATAAAAATTATAGGACAAAAATAAACAATGACAGCTTCCTACTACAGAAGCAACTTCACAAATAATAGGACTAAAGTAAATAAAGTAAAGACATATACGCTGTACTGACACATTCATTTGGCGTTTTCAATATCCAACACAAGAGGACCTCGGTACATAATTTAAATTATTTTCATTATACTGCTACTGAATTCGAGATCTCTTTAATACTAATTGGACTTAATTGTTATTTTATTAAATATTGTGAATATATCAAATAGAAGCACCGATAGTGTCTTATTGGTTTATTTTAACCAATATTTGTAAGTGTGTGTTGCAAAATACAACTAAAAAAGTATGGTTAGTACTATTCAAGCCTGAATAAATCCAGCAATATTCTTTTTTATTGCCGACAGATTTCATTCCTAAATAAAATTTGTAATTCTTGCATATTGTTTTCTAATTTCATCAACTACATTTCTAATTTCATCAACTACAGTAATTACCAATATAATCACTTTATTCGCGTGACCAGGATATATTGATTGATTAGAATAAAAGTAATCTATGTCCTTATGCAAATTCTACATATATGTATGTACGTCAAACTTTATAACAATCGGTTGAGCCATTACAACCAAACTACAACAAACAAACAACTTTTAGTATCATATGTCTGTGTAATGTGTTTATTTGTCTATTTACCACCTTTTCATGACTAAACGGCTCATGGATATCTTAATGAAATTGAATGTGAAGATAGATTGTAAACGAAGACGAACATACGCTATCTTTCATCTAAAAAAGCTGATGAAATCGTGGATACCAGTTAGTAATGTTAATAAAACTCTATGAACAAATTTTCATGTGTGCAACATCTTTCATCAGCGACAATACATTTTTATGTGTGTAACATTTAAAAGCTACATAAAAGACATGGAAATATCATTT